CTTTCTTCTTAAGCCCGGTCTCTGAGAGTGAGATGTATGGCATTATTATGGGTCTAAACAACTCAAGTTCTACCGATTGCTTCGGCTTAAATTCAAAAATATTGAAACACACCATTGAGTACATCGTGGGTCCCCTGGCAGCCATAACGAACGCAGTGTTTTCGAGTGGCGTATTTCCTTCGGATCTAAAACTTTCAAAAATAATTCCCATTCACAAAAAAGACGATCAACATACACCAAATAACTTTAGGCCCATTGCAATTACCCCTATATTCGGTAAAGTCATTGAGAAAGCCCTGAAGGCTCGCCTGTCACTGTTTTTTGAGGAAAATAAACTTCTGTGTGAATCGCAGTTTGGCTTTCGTGAGGGGAAATCCACGACCCATGCACTTATGCACTTTGTGAACAGTGTGGTGCGGGGTTTCGATGCTGGCGACGTATCAAAGGCACTTCTGTACGACCTTACGAAAGCGTTTGACTGCGTCGATCACGATGTGCTCTTAAACAAATTAAAATTTTATGGCGTCAGAGGTATCCCTCTAAAGTTAATAAAATCGTATCTTAGTAACAGGTTTCAGTATGTTGAGTTTGGTGGAGTGTCGAGTGATGATGCTCTTCCAGTGAGCTGCGGTGTCCCACAGGGCTCGGTTCTTGGGCCGTTGCTCTTCATCATTTATATAAATGATCTGCCATTGTCCGTGCCGCCAGATGCGAATGTCACCTTGTTTGCTGACGACACTGCCATTCTGTTAACAGCTAAGCATCAACGAATGCTTAGTGAAGATGTCAGCGTAGCAACAAATGTTCTCCAGCAATGGTTTTCTGCAAATAACTTAGTCCTCAATAAACAAAAAACTCAAGAACTTACCTTCTCCTGCAGTAAAGTCGACTATCTGTATCAAAATAATATAACCCTCTTGGGATTCGTAATTGACAGGACTCTGTCATGGTCAGGCCAGATTCATGAGGTCTGTGCAACGTTGTCTCGGCGACTGTTCCTACTGAGACATCTCAGCCATTGTCTAACCCCGGCGGCCCTTAGGATAGCCTATTTTGGGCTTTTTCATAGTGTGCTGTCTTATGGCATTGTGCTTTGGGGTGGGGTTGGATATACGGAAAGAGCTTTTCGTTTGCAAAAGAAGGCTGTGCGGGTGCTCTGCGGTGCCAACCCGATTGCCCACTGCAAGCCCATTTTCTCTGACTTCCAGGTTATGACGCTGCCTTCTACTTATATATACCGATCTATCCTGTATATTCACGAAAACGCGGATGTCTATGGGACACTTGGCAATAGACATGAGTATAATACTAGGTATGTTGACATGATCACCCCTCCTCACTCCAGACTGACGTCCTCACAAAACAATAAGATTAATGTTAAACTGTATAATGTTCTCCCAAATAATATAAAAAATCTACCATACAGACAATTTAAAAAGAGAATGAAAAGTTTTTTTACTGATAATCCTTTCTATGATATTAATGAATACTTGGAGTTGATCAAACATACTACACTTGAATAGACCACTGCGTTAGTGTGTTAGTTCTCAAAATTTGTACAACCTTTTATATTATATATATAAATTCTTTTGTATTGTTAACCTTTGACGTACCATTTGTTGTTTTTGTGACGTATCTGAATGGCCAATAAATTCTATTCTATTCTATTCTATTCTATTCTATTATTATTATTATTATTATTATTATTATTATTATTATTATTATTATTATTATTATTATTATTATTATTATTATTATTATTATTATTATTATTATTATTATTATTATTATTATTATTATTATTATTATTATTATTATTATTATTATTATTATTATTATTATTATTATTATTATTATTATTATTATTATTATTATTATTATTATTATTATTATTATTATTATTATTATTATTATTATTATTATTATTATTATTATTATTATAGTCTAGTTCAGAAAAGTTATAAAACCTAGACACAGGACACAAAAGTAAGTGACGCCTAAAATGAAACGACTTCACAAAAATAACTGTTCTACTGTGCTCGCTCCACTGTCACTGCATATGGTTCTATTTCAATAAGTAATTTATTAATTGTCCTTTCTCAAACAGTTACATGACATTACATTTGATTGTTTCAAACAATTTCTTATAAAACTTAAAACACAAGTAATAAGCGCAATTTTCAATTACAGTTAATCGATGCTGTGGATATAAAAGTTCTTGGTGTTACAGAAGTGACTAAGTGAGTGTTCTTTATTTTTATACACAAACATTAACCTTTCTATGAGACTCCCAATATTTTATAATTATTTTCTGGGCCATAAACACTTTTTGTACCACAGTGCTACTGACTACAAGACTATAGCATGACTTTACTTAGATGGAAAGCCCTAAAGGCTTACGGGACAAATTTGTGGACCGATTTATAAAATTGATAACCTAAACAATTTGTAAAACAAGAACATATTTAACTGTTTTTTTTTTAATGGCAGTAAACATTGTTATTAAACAATCGAACAATAATGTCTGTTGGAATATAAAATTCCCTTTTTGTAATATCATCTATGTGTGGTTGCATTGATTTTTGCATATGTAGCTATAAATAGTGAGCAGCAAAATAATATAATGTAATATATCACTACCATATCGGATCATATATAATGAAAATACTAAAGAAGTGGTGGGTCAATAAGGAGAACATTAAAGTGACATTTTTTAAAATTTGCAAAGGTTTGGTTAATTGACTTCAGGCTCTGTAAGAAACAACCAGCAAATACCAATATCACAAAACATACGACGTTTCATTTAAGTAAGACAAAACTCACCAACAGAAGACTAGCTATTTAAAAGGCTCTAAGGAAGGCTTTAAAATATTAAAATAATTTATTAATTCCGATTTTGAGAGAGCAAATACTGTAGAAACCGATAAATGATATTATTAATTTTGTTGTTCCAAATATTAAAAAATATTTAAATTTATTTCAATCAACTGTTATACCTACCTCACTTAAAAAATAAGTAAAATAGTTTAGCTGACCAAAATAACATTTAATTGTCTTAATACACATACTATAGTTCTAAAGATTAAAAACTATTTGCTGAAAACAGAAACGGCCATGCGCGCGCACATAATGCAAGGATTCGTATAAACTCCTTACAAAAGATGAATATTCTTTAGTGCCGCCGACAAGCTCAACGCAACAGCTTTAATATTAATTAAGTTCTCAAAGACTTTTGGCACTATAAATCATCACCTCCTCTACGCCATTTTGTAATATGTTGGTCTTTCTCCCACCAACGTTAACTTTTTGAAAAATTATTTATCGAATAGAACACAGAAAGTGAAAGTCGGAGGATTAATCTACATAGCGCTGAGTGTAAAGTCAGGCGCCAATTTTGAAAAATTCTTTGATACTGCAAAGTAATTCAATACGCACATGATATCCAACTCTGTTTTAACTTTTAACCTAAAAAATTCAATTGAAAAAATTAAAACTGAAATTGAAAGACTTACAGAGTGGACAGGAAGTTATGCACTCAATATTAATTCAAAGAAGATTTCTTTGCTTATTTTGCGTGCAAGAATGAATAGATCAAAAATAAATGAACAAGACTTTAAAGTCTGCATAAATCAACATCTCATACATTCGCCATTTTCAGCTCGTAACATTGGCATTACATTTGATAGCAATTTGTGTTTTAAGACTCATATAAAAAACTACATTCGAGCGGATTATAACAACTTTAAATCCATCTTCGGGATTGAAAATTTTTGTTTGTGTAATTCGATGTACAGACATCATATATCACATAAACCTTGCCACAACCGCATCAGTCGGTTCAATATGTAAAATAGGAGATATAATTTTGCGTCCTGTGTATTCCTCCGTACCTGTATAGCAAAATAACTTTGACGAGAAACGTACATAACCTTAATCTTAGAGAGGTCAACAAGATTTGCATATCAAATTTGTAAAATTCACGATTCTTTGCCAGATACAATGAAATTTTGGCCTATTCCAAGCTATCAAAACAATGTTCTGTGTCATCAAAAAATAATATACAAGTCAAATTTTCCTTAAAATAATGTTGCTTTATCGCAGCCAACAACTAAAGGTTACGTTTCTTAGTTCTAATCTGAAGAAAAACTTATTTTCTTTTATTATTCGTGTGTATGTACTTGATATTTTTTCTCGCTTAAGATGTAAAACAGAATCTGCCTTCTTGTGAGGTGGTCACGTGATCTTCGACGTTGCCCGCATTCTTTTTTTTCTATAAGATTATGTTATTTATTGCTGGAAAATAAAGATCTCTTTATTTATGTCTCCGACCGATCCTCGCAGCGAAGAAATCACATGCGCAGATTATAGAATATATTCCTCTAGTTATCGGCTTATGTTACCCGCCACTGGCGCATACGCGATGCTACTTGTTGCCCCGGCCCTAGCGGTTCGAAACAAATTTCCAGACGACCTTTTTGTTCGGGCACGCGGCGGATGAATAATTGATGTCCCCACTTCAGATTCACTTCATCGTTTCCCAATTATTTCGCTTTACACCTCGCGCCTTTGTCCTCCCTACGTCACGTAATTGATAGGCGTTATTTATCCCTCGCCATTTTGTCAGTATTGGAACCCTCATGATCAGTGCCATCTCGCGTTTTTCTTCGAAAACGCGACTGAAGAACAATTGTTTTATAGGCTATTTCTCACAGGGTAGAGTCACATACACCCCAATAAGATTTTTAAAGAGCTTGGTCAGGATGACCGTATTCCGTGGATAACTAGAAAACTTTTGTGGGCCACTTTAAAAAATACAGATTTTCCATAGGAAAAGCAATGTTACTGGAAAGCTATGAAATTGTTTGCTGGCGACAAGAGTAATTGAAAAATATAATATATAAATATAGTGACTATACAATTTAAATTCGTTGATATAAAAATTTACGGGTAAACAAAACAAAAACCATTGGTGTTCGAAGATTTAGGCTATAAGCTCTTACCTTAGCGGTGTTTATTCTGCATCTTGGTCTTTCTGTAACAAAAGAAATTTTATTAGTTGTTAATGAGAACTAATTACTATTATCATTATTATTATTATTATTATTATTATTATTATTATTATTATTATTATTATTATTATTATTATTATTATTATTATTATAACAAGAATAAAGTGCAGAGGAGAACCTATTATGCACATTGATAGTTAGTAGCATAAGAATGTTACACATATATTAAATATTTAGTTGTTGCTGTGAAACAATACACTGTCCAAGCGACATTTAAATACAGACAAGTTCGGCGCAGACACAACATCTGGGGGTAAACTGTTCCAATAATCAAAAGTCCTGTTTCTTATAAAATGCAGGCGATGTGAAGTCCTGAATTGTTCCTTTCTTATTTTAAATAAATGACCACGTAGGCGTTCATCATTGCTTAGGACCACAAGGGGCACGTCAGATGGAAATTGGTCATGTGCAAACCTATACATTTGAATGAGATCCCCTCGCAGCCGACGCTGACTTAATGTTGTCAGACTAAGTATTTTGAGACGGTCATCGTAAGGTGTATGTCTAAGCTGAAGTGGCCAGCGCGGAGCGGCTCGTTGCACTCTTTCCTGAACATCACAGTCACGCAATAGCCATGGGTTCCAGACTGGGGAAACAAATTCCAGGATGGGGCGAATGTAAGATGTGAAAAGCATGCAAGCGATACGAGGACTGAGATTTTTAAAAGCCTTTTTTAATAAAAATAACGCGCAGTTTGCTTTCTTTGCAATATTTGATACATGTACAGGTCCATCTGAGAATCGACACTTGACACAAAGTTTCCATTGATATAATAACTCAAACCGAGATTGTTCTTGCCAACATGCAGCACAGAGCACTTTGGAGCATTCAGCGGCAAGTTGAACACCACTTGGAAATAGTATTCAAGTCTCTCTGTAATACGTCCGCATGTGTTGAAGGATTTTCAAATAATTTAGTGTCATCAGCATAAGCGCTCACATGAATAGCTAAGAATAGCACTGGTCCCAGCACCGACCCCTGGGGAACAGCACTAGGCACGTTTTGTGGCAGTGAAAAAGCGTTACCAATTCGAACTCTGAACGACCGGTGATTATTTAGATATTTTTATTTATTATAATTGTAATTGTTCTTCTGGCCTTTCTGGTTAATGGAACAATACATAAATTTACTTTTTTATTTAAGCAACTTGGCTAATTTGCAAAATTACTTGAAATAGACCTTTCACTTCTTCAGTGATACCGACCTTACGTATTTGAAGGACTGTGATGTACAAATTGAAGAAGAAATACCAGAAGTGGGAACAGCAAAAATAACGAAGAACCCACAAGAACAAATAGAAGAGATATTCCCCTAGTAAACAAAGAGAGAAACAGAAAAAAAAATCTGTTGTCTATAAGAATATTACAAAGCAGTTGTAGTTTACCTGAATTTTTACTGAAATTATCAGCCGGAAATACAAAAGTTCAACAAGAAAAAAATGGAAAACAAAAAATAGTAACAAGCTAATATACGTTCAGATTTAGTAGAAAATTTATGTAAAATTTTATGTTCTACAAACGAAGCAAGATAGACCAGACATACAGTGCCCGCATAAATGATGGAACCCCTTTTTATTTATGGTACCCTTGTATATAGCACGGTGAAATTCGAAATGCACGTATATAATTGAAATGTTCAATTTTTGACATAAAAATAATATCTCAAAATGTCAAAATGAGGGATTTTAAGTTTTTTTTTATAACGACTTTGACTTTCAGTTCGTATACCAATTTTGAAAACATTTGATTAGTCAGTTTTTTTTAATATTAATTTAATTTAATACAAATAATAATAACTATTATGGTAAGGTTGCGTTTGAGAATACCACTACCAATACCATTAGAGAATACCACGTCATGTTGCAAGACGAGGCGAGCTCGGTCGCAAGATCCAACACCGATGGATTTTTTTCTTTGGGGAAAATTACAAAATACAAATTACAAAAATTTATGTTACAAAACCAAATTCAGTTGAATATCTGAAAGACGTTCGAAATGTATGTGGTGTAACTTTCCTAGAAACTTTGCACAATGTTAGGTAAAAACGTACAATGCGGTAATTTCTAACATTTAATAAAATAGTTGATAAAATGATGAAACTATTTATTTTTTTAATTTAAGCTGCGGTTAAGTAATAGAAAAGAAATAAAACATCTGCAAGCATTCATTTACTGTTTGCAAGAACTGATCAATCTTTTTTTTTAAATTGCTACGCGAATAGAACGTGAAAAGAGCATTAAAAAGAGGTATTACATGACCCCTATTGCCATTTAAAAAAAACTTAAACTGGAGCCCTGCTGTCGTGTTGACATTTTGAGATATTGCTTTTATATCAAAAATTAGGCATTTTAATTATATACGTGCACACCAAATTTCACCGTACGATATGAAAGAGTACAAAAAATAAATTATTACACATACATATACATACCAACGCAGGAGTGTAGGACGGATGAAATGGGACATTGGCCTGCTTTAAAAAAGGAGAGCAATGTGTCTATTATCTTTATAATGCATAAATATAATTTATCAGTTTCTCAACAAACTTTGTACTTCCAACAAATTGGCATTAAATGCCAAATATTTCAGCCACGCCCACTGAGAACGATTTGCAAAGCAATATGTTTGCTATTTACTTCCGGGTCAACCTACATAACCATTCATAAAATAACTCTATAGATGCCTCTTTCATCCCTCACTGCGTCGACGACAAAACTAATTCATTTTTGTAAATGAGTCATACTTTGTATGTGGCGAGAGGTCTTTAATCTTGACCCGAATGGACGTAATAGGAAACAGGGAAAATTGAGGACGCCAGCAAAATAGTGCCGCCATCACGATCGAGTAGAATAGATATAAAGATATCTCCAAAGTTGTAAACTTGCCGTCGAGATTATTTCCGCTATACTTTGTTGCTGAATGTTAATATGGACAGTCATTATCTCCGATAGGTAAAGAAGTGAAATGATACTCGATTTTCTAAGGTTTCAAAGGTCGTTAACCCATATAAAAGGTGATTCGCGTTGAGTGTCTTATTGGAGAGTTGTTTTTTACTTTTGCGCAAAATTCTGAGTAACTTTAATTGACATGTCCCTATCTCTTTCAATTATTTCTGAAAAAATATTTTAACCTTTTTTTGCACTTTATTAAAGCTTAATATCTTAAAGTATTTTTTTTAATGATCAATGCGTGACTTCGCTGATAAGTCATAGAGAGTGGGAGAAAAATTTACATTTCTGAAAAAGAAATGTAGTAATGACTAACTGAAACTAACCAAAACCAGAAACCTCGGAACATGCTGTCCCATTTCACTATAGCAATATAAAAAAAAAACATTTATTTTCCAGAACTTCTAGTAGGACACTCAACGTATATAGTTAAAATAAATTGAGGGAAATTTGTAATTTATTCTACTTGAAAATTCGAATATTGAAAAATTTTGCACTTGTAGAAAATGTCGTGGGGGCCATTTTTCATAATTAAGTTGTAGGTGTTTAAAATTAATCAAAGTTAAAAGACTTAAATGAACCGCAATGGACATAAGTCAACAAATAATAACTACTCTCAACAATGTCAAAAAATAAAATGGTGTACTGGCAAGCCAGGAAAAAACTCTTCGATTCCTCATGTAACGTTTATAAGATTGCACTCTGTTTACAGAAATCAACAGCCTCTACTTGCGGATCGATTCATTCATCTCTTATTGTCATCAAAATTTCCGGAGTAAAATTCACAAAATGAAAAACACGCGACTTCTTAAGATTTGCTTTAAACGACAAATTCAGCTTCTAGATTTTTCTGAAACCAAATTTAGTTGAACGTTGCAAGACCAACTTTGCTGGAAAAACCTAAATTCCCGGCGTCTAATGCAGCAAAAACTTATTCTGCCCGAAAAAATGCGAATCGAATTGTTTGAGTGCGATATTGCTATTGCACAAAGCACAGCATATGTCAATTTTGATTGAACCAGAAACTGTTGTCTATATTTCATTTTCATGCCCTCTACATGCTTGCGTCGGAACCCGCGATTTTATGGACGTTTAACCAGCTTAATTTAATGTCCAAGCTAAGAGCCCTTTTGAGGAATGAGTGGCGGTGGATAGAGAAAATTTTTTCTGTATTGACTGCTCACCCACTGGTATTATTCTGATATGGTGCGGACCTTTTTTAAGGAAAATGTAATGTTTTGCGTAAACAATAAATAAATAACAAATAATAAGTCAATAAATAACAATAAATGTCATGCCTTTTCCGAATTCAGAAAACCCCATATTTTCTCTATAGATACGCAACCTTTCGGTATAATCGTCAGGATACCCTCTTTTTTATAAAGCTGGCCCCCTACCGAAGGAATCTTAGACGCGAAACATGTCAAGATCGATTCAAACCGGGGGTAATTTACCGCCATCTCTCCGGCTAGGGAATCCGGGCCCCACTTTCTGGATTACGTCATGTCAAAAGCTGACGCGGGATCATGTAGATTTTCCGGTTGTTCGGAGACTCGCTCCGGAGGATTAGCGTCCCGGATCGGTAAAATTTACCCCTGCTCCCCCACCTTATGTGGGTCACGCTGGAGCGGGTGAGGGGAGGGGGATTCTTTCTCTCGCCGCGACTACTTGTTGGTTTTATGAGCGTGACGATTTCTCGCGAAACCGTTTCGCGGTCACACACGCTTTGAACTAACCACAGAATTTCAAACTGGACCGCATTTGTCGTAATAGTGTTTCTATCACCCTATTAAAATATTGTATACAATTCTTCTGAATTCCTCTTGCGTTTGTTGTGGACAAATAACACTTGCTAAAGTTTCTCCAATCATCGTGTTGGTTCTTCAGAATTCAATCAAAACTGGTGGACCTTAAATACTGTTTGAGGGGGGCGGAGCTGAAGGAGCGACATAAACTTTGTCCCGGATGACTAATTCCCATATTGGTGACCTGAGTCGCGATTAAGATCGTTTGGTT